CGTGCGGTGGCTTGTGCAACGAGGAAGGTGCGGGAGAAGGGAGGGGGAATTTCACACCAGGCTCGGGCAGTGCAGTCAGTTAAATCTTTTGGTGTCAGCCTTTGGGGTGTAAGGAAACGCAATTTCCTCGGGATCTACAGCAAAGTATATTTTCATTCTGCGTCTGCGTGCTGGCAGATCTAGGACATCGGAGACGTCCTCCTTCGGCTTTAAATTGCCTTTTCCCGCACAGCGATGATCAGCACCGTGTCGGAGAACCGTTGCCCTTTTAAATGCCTGCAAAGTAACGTTTCCTTGGGGTGGAGGGAGGGAAACAAAAGAGTGATTCACAGAGCTTAAAGATTCGGTAGCATCCCTTGAAAAATGATGATGTTGCACCTATTATTAACTGGGTTAGTTCAGGTGCCAGCGCGAGCTGATGTGTGCGCGTGATGGGAAAGGGTTTTATGGGACGGTAACTCGAGGGGGTCCCGGTGCGGTTTCAAGGACGGGACTCTGTTTTGTCCTGGTGAGGACAAATGGATGTGCTGCTGAGAGGAGCTTTACGGGTGCTGTGTCACCTGTGTGCTGAAGCCATCTTAATCACACCTCCGTATTGAAATATGGCCCATTAAGGAGAGGAGATTAATGCTGTAAATGCTGGGTTATCTTTCCACTTCAATAGATGCTGTCAAGCACTTCTTAAATAGCATTTAATTGAGATTTTTGTTACCATTTCCTTTCCTTCTTCCCCCACTGTCAAACATCTGTTTACAAGATTGGAAAGAAGTGTGTTCCCTCCTGGGATGGCTCTTTGCTGTGTGGCAGAAGGGTTCTCCCCCGCTGCCTCCCGCTCCGCTCCCGTCCCGGCCCCTTTGCTCCTCCGTTCTCTGTGCTCCGGTGGTGGACTGCGAGGAAGGGGCTGCCACTTTCCTCTGACTCCCCTCGGCGGAGTTTAGCTCGCTGTCCTAGCATGTGTTTGTTTTTTCTTCTGCCTTGCACGCACGGGAGACGTAAGCCTGTCTCTCGCGTTAACCAGAAGCGGCTGCGTTCCCTCCAGCCCGTCCCAGCACCTCCAAACATCACGTTTCCCACGCGCCCGTGGGGAAGGTGCTGTCCTCCCCTGGGTTTGGGAGCGGGGAAACTGGGGCAAGACGATGGAGCAGCTGCTTCTGTACATGTGTATTCAAGCATCATGATAAGCAGCATGAAGGTTGCTGCTGGGACTCCCAGCCTTGCCATGGTGTGAAGAGTTCGACATCGTGGAGTGAGTAAGAATTAATATTTGGTGGCAGCTTGAGCTCCAGTATCTTAAATTAAAGGGCTGATATAAATTTCAGAGGAAGTTACACTTGTCCAGGGTCAGGTGCAGGGGGAGCAAAGATGCAGAGAAGTGCTGAGCAAATAGCAGAAAATGTCTTTCATTAATATTCATATGGTTCCCGGTACCATCTCGTCGGTTTGACGGTGCTCGCAGCTCTTGTGTGTTTATTTTCAGAAGCAGCAGTGCTTCAGCCCCACGCACCCACGTGCTTGTGAGCGCCGCGTTCGTTTTGCTCGGCGTGAGCTGATCGTGCGTTTTTGGTGGAAAACGTGCTCTTTGCGATGGATTTGGTTGGGTGCCTGAGCCGTCGGGAATTGTTTCTGCCCCTGGCCGGGCTGCCTGCTTCCCATGCAGCCACGTGGGAGAAAACGCCGTGGTGGTCTGCCCTGTTTGGCCTCAGACGAGGCGCTGACGCCAAGCTTGCCGGGGTTGGTGAACTGCAGGCTACGTGCAGGATTGGCAGCTGAAAACATTAGCAGTCCTGGAGTTATTTGCAGAAGAAATTAATGAATAATTCTAAGTTAAAAGTACATAGTCGGTTTTGTGATCGCTGTTCAAGGACAGGCTATAAGGATGAAATTCTCTGAGTAATTACTGTAATTTACTTTGTGCTGGAGCAGTCTGAGGCTCTCCCTCTTGTGTGATTGACCCCGTTCCCCTGAGGTCACCAAGATCTTCTCTCTTAGTATCCCAAAAGGTTCTGGTAACATTTCCTCACGTCCGTGTCCTTCAGTAAAAGGACTAACACTGGGCACCTGCATCTCCACACACCGACAAAACTCTGTTTGCTATTAGGTGTAGGAGACTGGAGGAAGGTGCTTTGGGGCGCTCATACCTGGAGCCATCTCTGTAGGGTTTGGAGGGGGAAAGGACTGGTTGCGCTTTTGCCAGTTCCTTCTGCTTGTGGAGAGGGAGGCTTTGCTCGAAAGTCCTGTGCTTAGCGCCAGGATGGCCGTGGCTGCCTTCACCCCCAGCTTAACATTTGCTTCATTTGCTCTCTTTCAGCCTACCAGCTCTTCAGATGTCAGCCTCCGACCGTCGTTCCCAACGCAGAAATCATCACCGAGAGTGAAGAATTTCACATAGGTAGCCTCTCCCGGTCCGCTTAGCCCTCCTTTCCCCCCCACCAGGTGCTGGGAATGCCCATGGGAAGACACACATGTGTTGTCACCCCATAGCTGGGGTTTCAGATGACCTCTTCACGCGTGTCGTTGTGTGTGGCACGGGGAGCTGCGTGTGACCTTGCTCAGCCCCCGTTGTTCACACAGAGTCAGACTGATCGGATTGTCCTGAGGCTTCTCCGCTCTCTTAGTACAGAAGAAGCGTTTTGGCTTTTGTGAAAGCCCTGAGCTTGTTCGGAAACATTCAGGTATCTTTACCACAATAATAGTTTTCAGGTGTTTCAAACAAAGCATTTTGTGAAAGCTTAGAGGCCATTATTCTTTTTTTGAGAACCTTTCGCCCATATCGACTGTACTTTTTTGTATTTTTTTGCTGCTTTTCACGGTTACATCCACATTCTGAAGTGTGTCTGCAACCAGTGAAGTAGCCGTGATTTTTTTTAAAGCAGCTTTTCTCACTGTCTGCTCTCTTTGAGGGACGTCTCCACCTGAAATAGCTCACACAAATCATAATCGTCTCAGCAGCATGACAGCAGTTTATCCCAACTGAGACTCCAGCGTGCCTTCCTATGCCTTTTATTTCTGCATCTGTTCCTGTTATTTCTGCACGGTCATACCACGGCACAGTGGCAGAGGCACGGTCGAGGGGTCTCTGTGTGCCTTGGTACCCTCTGCCCAGGCCACGGTTCAGCCTGTGTGAATTGATCCTTCGCTTGCATCGAGGTGTTCTCTGTTTCTGTCTGCAGGAGACGTAGTGAGGTACCGGTGCCTTCCTGGCTTTACCCTGATTGGGAATGAAATCCTGACCTGCAAACTAGGCACTCATCTCCAGTTTGAAGGACCTCCACCCACATGTGAAGGTAAAGCTGGGGGTGCCCAGCGTGAAGCTTCCCTACCCAGAGACTGCTGGAAGATGTGGGGGCTTGCTGGGGGCAGGTTGGATGGCAGCTGGGGGAGGTTTGCTTGCACATACTGCATCTTTGGGGTTCATTCTCAGATCTCCAGGGTCCCCGTAGTGCAAAACCACCCATCAGGACCTTGCGAGTCGGGCAGGGAGGCACCGCGGCGCAGGGAAAGG